TAGTCTTTTCCAGACCCAAAAAGACTTGCTGACTTTTCCTTCGCTCCTTCGGGTGCTGACGACCCCACCTGGAATGCCGCCCGTGGCTCCCACGGAGCAAGAGCGAGCTCGTGGAAGGAGAACGACCCCAGGTCAGACAGGTCGGCATACCACACATCGTTGACCTGATTCGCTTGGCATCTTCCCGGTCTACCCCAGAATCAGAAAGGATCTATCTCCATGTCTGGTAGGGCTGGAGCATACTGTCTTCCAAGGCTCTCCAGGCTTGAGTTGGTGTCCTGAAAACAAGGCCAAGGGCTGTGACGACCATGTGAAACTGCCGGAGCATGCCGGAGCCCTGCCTTGGGAGTGACGACCCCACCGAAGACGAGCAAACATCGACCGTCTTGGACGGCCACTGCCCCAAAGTACGCGCGGGGACCCCAAGGTGCCTGCTGCCTGGGAGCGAGTTTCACGCTCTCAGGCTGTCTGCTCCCACGATGCAATGCTTTCCCTGCAAAAAGACAAGGGGGCTGCTGCATCAAGGTCCAGCTGCTACCTTCGTCCGTGCTCCACCACACATCCCCCAGCCCTGCAGCACAACAAAGCTGGTGCGCTGCGCCGAAGATCTAAGCTTTCTGGGCCCGTTGCTGCTGTAGGGCAAGGAACGCAGAGGAGGCAGTTCACCGCTCAGCTCGACCTTTCAGCTGCAGGGACAGGCGAGAGCGCCGACGAGTGTAAGACACGGCAGCTGCCGAGATCAACACGTGACGAGACAAGTAAGCTTCCACAACATCCAGCCTCAGCTACAGCACTTGCGAGTTGAACTGGGCTTCTGCATCTGAGTACCCGTCCCTGCTGTTGCATTTCGCCTACATACACTCGAAGCAAAGTCGAAAGCAGCGGCTCACAAGAGCTCCCATGACTCCTGCCTCTTCACGGGATGTTTTGCTTCCTGCGAGCCTTTTCCTTTGGCGGGCAGAAGTGACCACATGCCAACCCCAGCGCGAGCTTTGGCAGTCCTTTTCCACTTCGTTTCTTGCCTTCCTTGTCATGCTTGGCCTCCTGCGACTGCCACCGGTTCAAGTCCGCCAGTTGAAACCGTTTCAACATCAGCATTCTGAACAACCCAGTCCTGATCCTTGCTTGGCCTCGTCACAGGTGGCACTGCAAGTGTCCAACACATCGAAACTGGAGATCGGCCCATGGAGTGGCTGGGAATGCGGCGCAGAGGTGTTGGCAAATGGATCCACTCCAATACCACCCAACAACCACAAACGCGTCGCTTCCGATGCAGTTGCCTGCATGATGCTGGGGGTCGCAGGAGAATCAAGACAAAAAGGGAAGAAAAAACGAGGATCGAAGGAGCCGAGAGGAACCTCCGAGCGCCGAGCCAGAAGTCGGTGTCCAGCTCGAGGTGCCCAGGCAGCGCCTTTTGTCCGGATCGTCTGCTGCCTTATTGAATTCGAGTGATAGAGGGCTTCCTCCAAAGCCTCAGTTCCTCTGTCCTCAGGCTCCGTCACCCTCTCCTGCTCTGTCTGCGACAGCACGGATAACTTCTCGAAGAGGAAGGCACCCTCCGCACCTGCAGGAAGGTGGTCGGCGAGCTGCCAGAGACAGCCCGCCACAGATCCGCACACCCACTCGCAGCCTTCATCTGTCGAAAGCTCAAAGGTACAAGACGAAGACAAGAAACAGCCTCAGACCGAAGACTCCTTGCAATCAGCACCGTCTGAGTAGACAATGCAATTGCCGAGTTACGTTGATCGAAGCCCATCCCTCCAGGCTGCCAGTGCCAAAATGTGGCAGACCTTCTCAAGTCTCGAGGACAAAAACATGGCCCACGGCATGGATTTCAAGTTCCGTGCCTGCAGGAGGGATGTGAAAGGCACTTCTGCAGACATGTCGTCAGAAGCGTGCCCTGAAGTCAAGAATTGGGCAAACGTACCAAGGTGATGATTCTCAGACCTGCAGATTTCCGAGGTCTCTCCGCCCTCTGCATCGCCGGTTCGCCCAGATAGACCTCACGCCAACTCAAGCCAGCATGCGCCTGCTGCATCCAACAGCACTTCTGCATTGCTTCTGCTCACTGCTGTAGTTTCTTTGAAAGAGAGCACGTCAGACCGACCCGCAACAGAGGGTGTTGGCATATCAAGCAGTGGCAATCTACTCACAGATTAGCTTGGAAGCTGTGGCTTGGACCAGTCTGCTGCCGGAACAAAGTCCACATGGAATTGCTGTTCACCTTGACGCGATTCCGAGGTTCACATTCGAGAGGCCCGGAGAATCCCGGAGACATTGTCGTGCCTATCGGAAAGAGAAGAATTCCAGTTCGTCTCCTTGGGACGAGTAAGCAGTATGCCAGTATGTCGGTGAGTTCACACATGCAGGAAAGCAGATGTCACATCCAGCTAGGCAGAGAGGGATAGCATGGAGTCCGGGGCCAAATCTGGGCTGCACCAAGCACCTGCCCCCACGTCCCGGTCCACACTGGAAGGGCCTTGCCAGCTGCAACAAGGAACGCGAATCTCGCCGGATCTGCTTCACTGCCTTGAACGGGCTTCGCCACGTTGCCTGCGACTCCTCGAGCACGTCGCTCAGCTGTCGGACCTCCGATCTGCTGCAACGAACAGCCTGAACTGCTCAGCGGAGCCGAGGGCTCCACCGCTCGCAAAGTCACGCCAGTTGGCTCAGTGCCTCCCGCATCCAAAACTGGCAAAAGCACGAGTCCTTTCATCTCGTGCCGAAGAGCTACTTCCGCCTGCCGTGGTGGCCTTGCACTCTTGGAAACTCACTTTTTTGCAGCATGGGAAATCGTCTGAGCCAGGTTCCTCCATTTCAGCTTCCAGCAGCAGAGCCAGAGCCACTGCTTGTGGGCAGTGACCAAGCAGGAATGGCCTCTGTTCCTGGAACATGTCAATGGGTGCCACAAGTGCATGGGACGCGCATGATCTGCGTGTACTCTCCACCTTGCTGGCGAAGAAGTGGACGAGCTGACAGACCGTGCAGAATGTGTCTGGGAACAGGATGAATCAACAGGGCAGCAGTTCATGCGCCTCAAGCACTTGCCCCGGCGTATCGGATACATTTGCTGGCAGGTTCTCCGCGGCCTTCCAGCACAGAAAGAAAAGATACGTGTGACTCAGTTTCACTTCATCGCTTTTACAGTACAGGAGCAGGGTCAGGATGTCACTTGCCTCTAAAAGCAGGTCAGCAAGGGGAACACCGTCAGCTTCAATGCGGGAGCAGTCATCCTTTCCTGACACACCACAAGGGTCACAAGCGTTTAAGCCGAGCTTTCCTAGCATGCAGATGCATTGCATTTGTAGGTGACATGCAGGCTTCTCGGTCCTGGGTCTTTGCGGTCAGCCGGTCCTGTGTTGAAACCTCCTCCGTAAGACCCTGGACCAGCTCCGAAGTAGTCATCATAGCCCCTCCCACCTGACAAGCTCTTACGCAGCACAAGTACAGAAATCGAAAGCGTCAATGAGAGCCAAGCGCCGAAAGTCCCCAAACGCTCCGTAGCCGTACCTTGGATTATGGAGCTCTATGGAGCTTGTGCAGCTGGGCCACAAGGAGCAGGGTGAGGCGCACAAGTCATCTCGCGTCAAATCTGAATCGAAGCCCGGGAAGTTGTCAAAATAGTCGCCCAGCGATGCGGCACCAGAACACCAGCCTGCACAGCCTACATTGTCATGAACGTGCACACCCAAACTGTGCGGCAGCAGTCATGATGGAGGCCTAGCAGTGCGAGCCACCATTGCATCAGCATGCAGCCATAAAGGAGCTGCCAGAGATGTCTCGTGGACAGACCGACCACCTTTGAATGAATGTCGAGAAGGCTCTTGCTTTGCCCCTCCGGTATTTTGGAGCAGCGCTTCTGCAACTGCAGCTGAAGTTGGCTTGTGCTTTCGGTGATTTCATATCCGGGGATTGTGTTTGTTTTTGCCATGCTGTGCTATTCAGCCAAAGGCCTTCAGCGATTTGGTGCATCCAACACTGTGAGATCTTTGAGGGAAGTCTCCAAACTTACGGATGACGTGAGACCGGCGAAAGTTTTATCCATGCACCCCACTGTCAGACCCCAAACAATCGAAAAGAGAATTTCACGAGCACTCGAGATCACTCGAGCACCCAGATGGCCGCCGCACCTCAAGCCCAACAGGTGGAGCTCGACCACAAGTCGCACGCGACGTCCGGCGTCACAGCGAGTTTCGGTTGAAATCTGCACAATGAGGCACGGCGCCGCAGCGAGGCCACGCGCACCCAAACTTAAAGGGTGACAACCACCGAGAGTCAGTCTGGAATGAACAAGGTCACTGGCAAGCCCAACGTCCTGGAGGAAGCTCGCTCCTGCCCTCTCCCGCTGCTCCAGCCAGACTGCGAGATTGATCCGACATGGGGACTCCAGCAGCGACCCTTCTAACTGGCACAACACCCACCTGCCCAAGATCTCACCCGAGAAAATGCCCGCCGTCTGAGCAAGCAATTCGATCCGCATCGGCTTCAGACACCCCCTCCAGGTGTTCAAACGTGTGCATATTGCGGAAGCTGACACGAAAAAGTGACCATGTGTAGTGTGTATGCACATGTACTTATCCTCATCCGGCAAGATGTTGCAGTGTATCACGAGTGCAGGCCTGTCGAACCCGTCCACTGTGTGTCGAAACATTGGGGGTAGTTGACCAAGATACTCTCGTACAACGTCGGACAAACTTCGTACCACTACCACTATGTAAAAGATTGTAAAAGGCTCTTCTTCTCAACGACCTCGCTCGCGTGCACGCCCTGCATTACATTCTGCACCGAGCCGCTACTCCCATGCGAAAGGATTCATCCCACACTTCCGTCATTCGCACGACATCGCAAACCTGCATCAAGCAACATTCGAGACGTGGGGAGCTTGTTCTTGCCACGAAGGTGGGCCCATTCGCTGAGACCGTGAGGGCAACGATCGTTGCCCAGCCTCTTCGCTGGCTTTGCAGCGTGCTGGATCGGCTTTGTACAAGTCGCCAGCAAAGCTATTCTTTGCTGAGCGACTTCTGCATGGCTTCATGCGCGAAGGACCTTGGAGGGAGAGGGAGTCATGGGACATCAGGGCAAACTCATGGTTGAGCTACGAGGTCGATGCCGCAGCTGAGACAGCACTTTGGCCATAAAGTCGTTGATGTCGACCTTCACACGACTGGAATCTGGGTTGTTGAAGGCAGCAGAGTTGCATTAGTGCATCTGCCTTGGAATTCTCTGCGGCGACTCCATCTACGCCTGCAAACATGGACTATGACCGGAATTTGCTTCCGCATGAGAGACTGGAAAGGTCAGCCCCGAGCTGATGGCATGCCCATCCTGCAGCTGCCCATTTGGCAACATTCCACGAGGCATCTTCGCTTCTGTTGCAAGCTCGCCTGCATTCCTTCTCGTCGGAAGATGCTCTGTAGAGAGGCGGCCTCCAGGCACTGAGTTGAACGGTGGAACATGGTGGAACCGAACTCCAAAATTCCAGGGCTGGCCTGGTGGAAGGAAGCTATGGACTGTGGCGTAGGCTCGGCCTTGACAGCTCAAGTGGAGAGCTTGCGGATCATCCAACTGTGGGATCCGCGCGATCCCTTCAGCTTCGAAGCAGGCCCAAATCTCCTGATGGCTCTGAGGGCTGCAGACAGCTGGAAACGAAAAGTGAAGCTGGTCTGCACACCCGACTGCATCTGGTCCTCCTCAAGTAACACCTCTCGTCTCAGTCGAACAGAGTCGAGCAGCGCATTATAGTCCAAATACCTGCTCGCGCAAACGCAGAAACCAAGCAAAACAAGAGCAACCAGCAAGACACATCACAGCGCACGACTCTCCGGGGTGTCGCAGAAAGCGGGCAAAGCACGATCCGATGGCCTGCAAATCGGGAGCGTCCACGAGCTGGTTCGAGCCTGGCGGCCTGGGTGCGACAACCTCGACGATATCAGAGTGTCCACTATTCTGTAAGACCTGACAAGATGCTTTGCTCTAGGCATTTGACATTTCGGAGAACTTCACAATGTTCACCGCTACACGTACAGGAGCCTGTCGCAGGTCTGCTGATGTGAGGAAGCCGGCTTTTTCTTTGTCCGCCTTTTGGCACCTGGAAGATTCTCGTCGCAGGCGCAGGCTCTGTGAGGTGCTGTCACGCGACCGAACCCCTCAGATTGGTGCTCTCGTTGGACTTGCAACGAGCCCAGGTAGGTCAGCTTGGATGCCAAGCTGTTCGCCACAAAAACCTGACGCTGCAGATGCAGTTTGCAAGGCATAAAATCAAAGCCACACGAGGCCTCGATGAGCCAAGTCCTGAAGAGGCTGCGCACGCAGCATGCATGTGGCAAATTGTGATGACAAACGCCGAGACGAGATGGCCTGCAAAAGCGTCGTAGGTTCAACGCCTGCAGCAGTTTTTGCTAGTGCCCAGGCTGAGGGAGCCCTCATTGCAGCTGAGCGTCGAAGGAGGGCAGCATTGAGCCAGACGGTGATGTGTCTGCCAGCTGTCGAACCCATGGGTGCTGCAATGCCTGCGCCACTTCCATATGGAAGACTTACGACTTACGATTCGACAAAAAGCCTGTTGCACTGTCAGCCGCTTTGCCGCGTTTCCGTGCAAACATCTCTGGACGAAGTCCTGCAAAGACGTGTATCTGCACTTGGCCACGCTTCCTGCAATGCAACTGGTGCTCCTTTGCTTCTTCCGAGATTTTTGACCAGAAAGGCGGATCCTTATCGCAGAATGCTCGCATTCCGGTGGCATCCATTCAGAATACAAGCAGCATTTCAGGAGCAACATCGAGTAGGTCGCTGACAAACGAGAGGTCCGTCTTCTCAACTCTCGAGATGATGGCATGTCTACAAGGGGCAAAGAATGGTGGGTACCTGGACGACGCGAGGCACAGTGCAGGATCTCTGGAGCTGGTCACAACGATGTCACAGCAGCAGGGCTGCTCACCCGCAGAGGAGGAGGAATGCAATTGCCCCCACCTCGCGAAAGTGCGAATACGTCGAGCAAATGCCAAGCTAAAGTCATCGTCCTGCGGAAGGAAACCCAACACTTGGTGGCAGTATGTGACAGTACAAATGCCTGACGGGTTCATGGGTCTTCGCCAGTGCAACTTATATTGGAAAAAAGGCGGAGGGCTGCCGAACAAGAGCCCAAGTCCTTGCAGGAGACGACATTCAGCCAAGGGCCAGACACTCCATGCGTCCGAAGCGGCGAAGTCCCAGCCAAAATCCTTCACTCCAGGGCTGCGAACAGAGCTGGACCTAATTCAGAAGATGCTGCCTGTGCGATCTCGTGAGCCTTCTGTGTTTACCGTATCTTTTGCATCTGAGCCACATCATGTTCGTCATGATCTGGAGCATGCAATTTCGTGACTGCGACACAAAAAGCTAGGCCAGTACTCCTATGCAATTGCGAAGGCACTTTTCTTCAACTACTGCTGCTCTTGTGAGGTCTTTTTTTTTTGCTCTGATCACAGTCTTCACCGTTGCACTTTTGGACACAAGGATGTCGTCAGCACACGATCTGTGTTGCATCTTCGATGAGGCCCGCCGCACTCGGTATCTTTGCTGATCGCTACGTTGGCGGTATACGTTTTGGTGCCTCAAGACACGTTCCTTTGCAGTCTTTCTCTGCTTCGAGCATCTACATCGCATCTTCGCAGCTTCTTATTATCGCTATTGTATGCCCATCGATTATGTTCACCGCCTGCTAAAGCTTTGTCGCTGATCGCACGCTCCAAGCAGCCATGCCATGGCATGCACTGCACACCAGACTCGTCTTAGTATGAAGTGCCTGAATGCACAAGGAAGCACGGAGCGACTTGAGCAGCATGCGCAACGACGAGATGGCTGACACGCCAGTATCGAGTACTCGATCGGTGGCGCTCGCACTGCACGAGGAGCTCGCAGGCTTGCATGGGAAAGCACTACATCCAGCCTCACTTCCGCACACGACAGCAACATAGCAAGTCTGCAGTCTACCCGCGAGTTTTACAGTTTGCGCCAAGTCTCCCTCCCTGCAAAGAGGCCCGCAGCTTGCAGGATGGCTCACAACCAAACAGATGCAGATGACATGCGTCACATGCGACATTGTGGTTGGCCTCGGAGTTTCTAGCTCCGATGTGGGTGAACCCTCTGAAGGGAGAGGGCTGAGTAAAACAAACTGTGCCTGGCCAAGGCTGTGCACGGAAGACCGAGAGGCCTGCAGCTTCTATCCCTCTACTGTCCTAGATCCCCAAACCCTAAACCCTGGACCCCGGACCCTAAATGCCTGGAACAACCAGTCACTAAGTTTCCGGCTGTTTTCTGCTCTGGTTTCTGATGTTTCTTTTCAGGTTCCTGCAGGTTTTCTGGTAGGTTTCTGCGGTTTCTTGTTGTTTCTCACAAGGTTCCGATGTTTCAGTCTCTTTCCTGTGATTTCCAACGGTTTCGTGTTGGCTGCCTGACGATTTTCCACAAGTTTGCTGTGTGTGTGTCCCGCTGCTGAAAGAGATTTAGTTTCTGAGGTGCTTTCCGGCGACCAAGAGCTTTCGACTCAACCGGATCTTGCTCCGAACACGGGTGAGTTTTGTTCTGGACGCATGGGGTCTGAACTCAACACAGCTGTAATCAACTCGACCAGGATTCACCCTACTGTCTCTCAGTGTCGGTCGGTCTTCTGACATGCACGATGCGACGACAGCAGCGAGATCTTGGTGCTCTTGGGATTCAGTAAGAAGACGGGTAGTGCAGACGGTCCTGCTGGCTGGCCAAATGGGCGTCAATGGCCTCAGGAAGGACGTTTTCCAAAACAACATTACACAGCCAGCACACGAGCATGCAAGCCTCCGATAGTAGATGCAGGTCCAGCATATCCGCAGTCCTCGAAGGCAGCTGCAGGACGACATGGCTTTCACTCGAGCACGTTGCTGCCGAGCTTCTCCCAGTCACGGACGCCTCAAGAGCATGGCTTTTCCCACATGTGTATACATCAGAGCCATGCAATGCTGAGTCCTAGTTAGTCCTAGCAAAGAGCAGTGGAAAGCTGAGGCGCGCCAGTCACACACAAGTCAGTGCAGATCGCTGGTACCGAATCGCCAACGAGAGACAAGCAGCAGTCGAAGTGCGCGCGCGCGCTCCCGCCGTGCGCAGACACCAGCAGACGAGTGCGAGTGGCACTGCAGTGAAGCGGGATTCGTTACTTACCGTGGTCCGTACTTGCTTTACTCTTCCTTCAGCCCACTGTGGTTAATTGGATGTGCACAGAACTCATCAGCGCAAGCTGCCACCTGTGTACTGGATATGGCCTAACAAGCACACTCCCGCCAGCACGAGAACACAGACCGGAAGTGTATCCTGTTCAATTGCACTACACAGAACGATCACAAAAGAAAACACTCCGGACAGTTTCCGGCTTTACAAAACAACAAGAGCACCCTGCAGGACTGATCACCCTATCGGCATCAGCTCACCCCACGGCAAAATCGGCTTGCCTTGCTTCAAGCTCGCGACCGGCAACCGGTTGTCCGGCAAGTCCTGCTCCAATCCGACCTCTGGCGAGTACGGAAGAGCAAGGCCGCCTGTGTCCCATGCGAGTACAGCCTTCAGGTGCTTGAGCACTTCCGGCGCACAGAAGACCAAGCGGCAGGTCTCCCAATGCTGGTGTCACAAGAGTCACAAGTGCAGCTACTGAGTGTTCCGCACCTCGAACAGCTGCGAACAAGCGATGCGAGGCCACTGTCGAACATAGCCCTGCGCCAGAGAGGCATTCAATGTCGGTGAACCTTTTGCTTGGATTCACCCCGTTTGGCTGCTTGTGCGGCGCTGCGAATGACAATAGCTGCTGTTGCGGCTGAAATTTTAATGATGGCTCATCATGTTTTTGGGCGTTCGGTGGTCTTGGCACATGTTTCGCTGTGACTGGACAATCTGCCTGCTCACCCGGCATGAACAGCTCTCCATGGCCAGACTCTGGTGTCCACTCGTCTAGACACACCTGAAACGGCAACTCGATACCGAACTGCATGCGCCACATTGCGTGCGCGGCTCCCTTCCACGAGCCGTCACAACGCGATCCTGCCTTGAGCTCAAGACCAAAATCCACCAGCTTCAGTGGGGCTTGAGTTTGATCGCTCTGGAACCTGGCAGTCGATTGCATCTCATGCCGGTACCGTCACATGTCTGCTTGCGCCTGAAAGACTCGGGCGACAGGTGGCCGTGCGACAGACCAGCTTCGTGAAGTTCACGGAGCGGCTGGCATGTCAAGAGTAGAGATGGTAGTCAAATCGGCGCCTTGTCGAATAGTTGTTGTAGACAGCTCTGTGCAGCGATGGCATCCGTCATGCCGGTGTTTTATCTTGTGGCTGGGCACCTCCAGCATGTGCTTCACGAGCATTGCACACTCCTGCTCGGAGAAGACGTTCCGCTGCAAAATGCGCTCTTGCCTGAAGTAGGCTCAAACAAAGGACAGCAGCCTCTTCCGCCTCTTCCTTGAGCAGATCTCAACAGTTCGGAACTGTGCTCCGAACACGGTACCGCCAGTGCAGTGCTCAGTGACCTTGTGCATCGACAGATCGAAGAGAATTTTGGGCGCATTTTGGGAGCCCGGGCTACCGCCATCGACCTGCAGTCTTCGTAGACTGCGAAGATCCTCCGCGCACGTGGGATGAAGCAGGCTATGGCAGGCTCAAAGCCTCGCACCAGAACGCGCCTGGCAGTTCCGACGAACTCCTGAGTTTGCAGCTGCGCAACGTGTGCCCTGCCAGATGAGGCGCACCAAACACAGCAAACACCCGACTGCGCGAAGAACAAGCAACGGTGCACTGCCTCAGTTTTTCCTGGCGATGTCTGCCACAAGGCTTGCGAAGCGAGCTGAGCCGGTAAACCTCGAAGCACTTTTCCGCGCGCTCAGGTATGCACGCTGCCCACACACCTTTCTGAAACTCGCACCGTTCCACTTTGGTCTGAAACCAGACGAACAGTCGGCAAATCCTCTCACAGGAGGCTTCGCAGGCTGAGAAGATCCGGCACATAAAGCGACGCTGCCTGGATGCTACGTTCGTGAACCTCATAGTGCTCCGTCAGCTTGGTCAGAGGCCTCTTTGCATGGTGAGTTCAAGTGAATTCACAGCAACGGCATCTCAGATCTGCACCAGCTGCGAACTTGACGAGTCACAGGCTTCGCCTCTTGTTCGTGAAGACTTGTTTCAGATCTTCGAAGCTCGAAATCACCCGCTGGCCTGTCCAGTGGCCTGACTCGATGAACCTCGGCCAGCAGGCCATCACCAGCCACAGCTTCCAGCAGCTTCACGCCGTCTTAGCCTAGCAGCTCTGCAGGCTGATCTTGGCCAAGCCATCGATGTCGATGTCACTGGCTGCCAGCAGCTGAATCCTCGATCTCCGGGCGGAACCCGATTTGAAGCTTGTTTCTTTTTGGGCGGACTTACGCAAAGCTCTCACACGTCCCTGTACTCACTGTGACTGGGAAAAAAAGCGGACGACCTGAAGAGCTTCTTGCACGTTGGCAGCCCCACTCCAGACTGGACGGTTTACTGCCAGCCTGTGGGCGTAAGGAAAAGCAAAGGAAGGAGTAGCTGGGGCCTGTGGGGTATGGCCGAGCCAATGCCGTGCCAGTAACTTTACATTGGCACCCCTGTAAACAAAAGCCTTCGTAAAAACACAGTTCTTTCCAGGTTGCTCGGAGTTGCTCTCAAAACGTGACCCAGCAACTTCAGCTGTGCCGTGTGGATGTAGTGAATGAAGGGGGGTTGGTCGGCCAACGCTCAGACTCCCTCGTTGCGAATGGTCTGTGGGTGGGGGTTGTCGGTGCGAACTTTGGTGTAAATGGTGTAAAAGGTGTCTTTGATCTGCTGGATCTTGTGAAGTGATTGTGAATGAAACAGGCCTCAAGCCTGTGGAGGTCCGCGTTGGTCAAGGCAGCGCATTTCATGCCGTAGGCAAGGAAGGCGCCTGGCGAGCCTTCTCTCGAATTGGGTCACGCACGGCGAGAGCTTGACTGGACCGGAGTTTTTCCACTCCTGCGGGTCTTTCTCCTATGGGGCTTCTGCGTCGCCCATTGCATTGGCCCCCTCTTGCTTCTCCTTGTTGCCGATTGTGTGGTTGTACCACCATCATTGTGAGGGAGGGGACTGTGAGGATGGAGGTGGCCAAGAGTTGCCCCCGGGTTGTCCCACGTCCAAGCATGACGTGTCCAAGTCCCACATGCCTTGATGTTACACAGGCCAGCCTTAGCCAGGGCCTCCTCCATTGTGAGGTGGCGATCCTCCTCTGTGAGCCAAGATGGCCAGCTCCTGAGTGTCCGCCTGGCTTGCACAATCAGCTCGAGTGCGAAGGGTCCGGACTTCCTGCTCGAGCGTCGCCACCCTATCGTTCGTGGCAGCCTGTGAGGTGGCCAGTGACAAATAGACCGCACCCAAGGCTGGTGCAACTTTTTGCTGCATGGCCATCTGGATCATCTGACCAACCCTGGCCGGTGCGTTGACATCTACTCCTTGCGCTGGGGGCACTGTGACGCACGACGGCTGCAGGGCGTGGGGATTGACACCGAAGAAGAGGACGAGGTGACCACGTGTATGGCGAGTTTAGCTTCTCCTCCATCAGACCCACTTTCGCTGTGAGCTTTTTCTGCTGCTCTTCTGGCCTGTCACCTTGCAGTTTCACCTGTGCAAGCTGGCTAGCCACCTGTGAAAAGAGCTCAGACATCTTATCGAACTGCTCCTTCTGTGACGACATGGCTTCAACTACTTGCTAAGGGAACTGTCTGGTCGACCTGTGCAAAACAAGGCTTGAACCGCTCGTGAGCTTCCGCTTTGAAGCTACAAGCGTAGATGTATGTCACATAAGTCGGCGAGAATACACATGACCCGAGTGTGGACCTGTTTCAAGGAACTACACATCAGCGGCGAGAATACGCGTCAGCAAATGCCAAAACCAGCCACTCCCCATGCAGATGCTCGATTCACAAACGCACACACAAGACACACGTCAGTGGCATCACAGCACGCCCCAACCAGCCATTGCCCATGTAGGTGTCTCTCTGTCTCTATGTCCTGTGTATGTGTGTCTGTGCTCACGGGTCTGTACCTAGCGCCAAACAGTGCCCATGCGAGAGGCACATCACTGGCATGACAGCACATCAAAACCAGCCAATCAGCATCTCAGAGCCGGGCACCACTCCCTCGCTTGGAGAGCAGAATTGGGCGCCCATGGCGCGAAAGCATTGAGTTTCAATGTGAAGCCTAAATAAAGCCTCAGCCCTATGGCCACTAGCTTGCTGAGTAGCTCGGGTGTGCTGGAGCTGCCGGCCAATGGAACAAATTCTGCTTACTCGCAGCAAGTCGCGGCTGGGATAGTTCGAGTCTGAAGTCTCGAGTTGCCTTTACATAGGCTTCCCATCGTATGCCGGACATAAGCAGCCTGGTGCATCATGAGTCCTATCCCAGTCAAGTTGATTCACCATTGCACGTTCACGCGATCCTGCAGCATGAGACATCTTTCCCGAGCTTCCACATCCACGGATCGACGTAACTCGTGTGAGACGCTGGGATGGTGTTCTTAACAGCATCGCCATCGCACGAATGTCCTCAGTTCTACATTGTCACAGTACACATGCTGCGGTCTGTTAATCTGATGTTCGGCTGGGGTGCATTGACCAAGACGCTGCCCTTGGCCCTCGAAGAGTCGCGGCAACGTCGCACCGGTAGCTGGCGCCTGCAATGAGATGGGCTTGTGACTTGTGCATTCGACAAGCTTGACAATGGCACCACGAAAGCCAGTGCAAAGCGTCAAAACTTGCAAGCAGGCCTGAACTCGCACAGCCTTGACTCTTGACATACGGACTGACAAGGCCCCGAATCGCTTCCACCCCCAAGGTACTCCTGAAAGCTCCTCACGAGCTCTGACCAAGCTACGGGTACTGTATCTGATCGTGCCTGCTGCTGCCGGGCACGAGGCGGACCGCCATATTGACCTACATCCGAGGCACCAGACTCGGCAGAACGCAGAATCTTGAGTCTTTCAAGCATCTGGCCTGCAGGTGGCCCTTGCGCATAGATCGGCTCCGCCTCCTGACGAGCCCGACGTATGCTGACCGTCCACACTGCCACGTCATGCAACCACTCGCCTCATCAAAGTCCGAGAACAAAGAATTTGGATATGCTCGGAAGGACCACCACGAAAGCAGCGCACTAAGCAGCATCACGATGGGAAGAGCCACCAACAGGCCCGACCTGTGGACAAGCTCTCCAACTTGCTTCGAGGTTGCCCCTAAGCTTTAAGTCTTTAAGTGGAAACCAAGCACGGCCAACAGAACGCATCTACTTCAATGACAGCTCTGCTATTCAGGGAAGAAGCTGGATGTTGTACTTTGTCCTGACTGGCCAGCGAGTAACAAGGACATCAAGATGACAGCAGCTGCGTAAAACACAGAGACTGCTGTGCTGCATCCCTGTCGATCAGAAGCTGAGGGTCCCTTGCGTGGAGTCAAAGAGCGGATGTACCTTGACCTGTGTCTCGTAGGTGACACTGGTTGCATCTTTGCTGGTGATAAGGGTGGTGCTTGAGCTGCGTCCACCCACTACCTGACAGCTCAGAAAAACTTGTTCATGAATTCTCTGATTATCTCACTGCAGCCATCGAGCTACCGATACAGAGAGCAACTGCACAACTGGGGGCTCGGCGCTGAAAAGTGTCAAGACGCCAAAAAGCGATTCGAAGCCGGATATCAGTCCAAAAACAAGCAGGCAGTACATCGACATGTTGGCGCAGTGGTCCGACACCATGTAATAGACGATGGCCGCCAATATCAGCGTGAAGAACATGCCAAACCCGTCTCCTGCAACAACCTGCAGCACTGCCATCGATACCAATATCAGGAAGATCCCCCACCAGAAATACGAGTGAAACCTGAGACAGCTGCAGACGCTGCAGAGTTGCCATGCATGCCACCAACGCCGAACGCTTTCTTCGCTTGCTTTGCACTGCTCAGCAATGCTAAATCAAGTTGAGATTGAACAAGTCACAGCTTGGACGCTCACCGCGCGTTTCTCTGAGCCAAGCATCTCCTTGACCGCCGCTGGTGGAGGAGCATCTTGTGGGCTTGCACCCACGACTGGAATTACCATAAGAGTCCGATTCCTTAGTGCACAGCTCCGATCATTTTGGATCACTGGCGCCTGAAGCTCCGTGCATCAGAGCATCTATGAAAAACGAGATCTGTTCGATATCGGAAGACGAAGAAAACACATATCCTCTTCGCCAAAATGGCTGCGGAAATGCGAGGAGAGCGGACAAGCAACCACGACATGTAAGGAAATGCCCGGACAGTGGCCAGCTCAAGCTCAAGAAAGCACGTGCTTTTCCTTCTTTTCTCGAGGAGCCGTGCCGGCTGCACGCTCAACCGCGTTCACCTGCAAGCGTGCATGTGACAAGGATCGCATACGAGAGACCCCTCGAGTTCCGCTGCCTTGCAGGCAGTTGAAGAGAAGTCGCCTCTGCTAGTCTGCTAGTGGCACTTAGCGGCACAGAACTGAATCCAAAGCCACTTTGCTCCTCAGAAGCTGGCCACAGCTTCCGGCGTGCACGAAGGACGAATGCCCCGAGAAGCAGCAGTCCTGCAGGCTACGAGCTTTGACTTTTTCCAGCGGAAGCTTCGAAGCTTCGAGTCTCCTGCGGCTCCTTCCACGATCTGAGTCTCAAGTTCGAAGCCCAGCACAGGATCGGGAAGTGGAAGACCACCTTAGGCACTTGCCCCAAGCTCGTCCACTGCCCGCAGCAGAGCCGGGCCTGAGGAACTGGTCTCTGCCGGGGAATCTGGCCTAATGGAGGCGGCGCGATTCCAATGAAACCCTGGCATAAGCAAACATAAGCAAACATGAGCACCACACAGAGCTGTGGTGAAGACGGTGCCTGAGTGCCAATTTTTGTCTTCACGAAAGATCAAGCAAGCATCTGACACCGCTTCTCAACGGCAGAGCATTCAACAAAATCATTGCTTGAACCCTGGTGCGTGTGGTGGTGATGGGCGCTGGTTGCTCCACAGAGCGGGAAGACGGTGCATCTCCTTCGCGCAGAGGCCATGTGTTTCACTGAAAAGAACCTCTGATGGGAGGGCTTCTGGAGACCATTGGCGACGATGAGATTTAATTGCAAGTGTTCTGGAAGCATGTTGTTAATGTTGCAATCGAGGGCCAAGACCTTCAAAGGCCAGGAAACGGCTCTTGCGGATCTTTTGCGACAAAAAGAACACTCTCGTGTTGAGGCTGGCTACGCAACTGTACTTGCTCCAGCCATGACCTTCTCGCGAGTTTGGTGCGACCGCAGCGCTCACAGGTCGATGATTTGGGATCTAGGGTTTAGGGCCAAGTTAGGGCTGCGGTTTTATGGCTACTTTTTACGATCATGATGATGACGACGACGATGACGATGAAGCGGTCGTAGATCAATGCTCATACGAACAGCACATGCCACCAAGTTGTCAACATGAGCCAGAAAACAGACTAGATTCGAAACTGTCCGTACGAGGCAGGCAGGGCTCATGCATCGCTGCAGGAATCACAGGGGCATTTCTTGAAGGAGCCACTTCCAAGCACATTCCGAAAGCTTGATTTGCTCAAAGCATGCTGCCCCAAACCCGTCGTGTCCTGTCGTGAGTGCAGAAGAGCACTAGAACCAATGGTACAAGTGAAATCATGCAGGAACGACTCAGCCCAAAACTTGGAACGACTCGGCGTCGGTGAGGCGAGTCGCGATGGAGCTCTGAGGGCTCCGACCTTGAACGTTCTCAACTTGTTACGAGTGCCAAGATGTCCTAGCTGTGGGTCTGCGGAAATATTTTAGCGTCCGCGAGCCCCATCTGTCAACAACAACAATGGAGCATGTCCTGATTGAATTCCGCTCAGGCATTTCGATAGAGATAAACTGAGTTTTGCTTAACAAGTCGGCTTGCAGCCGGCCACGTTGATGGCACGCAGTTGAACCTCTGTCGTCACATCAATTCCGCGAGGGCAACGCAGAATCACTTACAGCTGATCTCAAGAACACGTAGTGCCGCAGGGGAGCTGACTCCGAAAGGAAGCAGTGAAGGCAAGAATGTAAGCAGAGGCATGAAGAGTCTTCCGAGTTCTGCCCTCGCAGCTCGGGGGGCAAGGACGTGCGACTGCTTCGACTCGCAAGGATGTCGAGGGATGTCTCGCAGCGCACTACCCCCACGCTTCTATATCTGAGCACAGAAACAGGTGCAGTGTCAAGTTGAGCGGCTAGCTTCGTTCGATAAGTCTGCAGTCTCCCGAGATAAGAATGTCACACGGTTCCTTCCACGCCGCGTATGTGTTGAAACCACTCTGAGATGAGAACCCATTTGCTCTCGCATTTGCTATGGTCAGCCCCAGCCGACTCCTGTCGATGTCGAAGAGCAGTTCCTCCAAGACATCTCAGTGGGTCATGGGGAGGGCCATTGCCGCAACAGCTCAGGCTACCCATCCTGTCCTGCCCCACCATCCAGGACGCGCCCAAAACGATCTGTGAGCCGTCGGGAAGGGCCTGGGGCACAGCTTCGTCTCTCAAACGAAAGCTCTGCTGTGCATGCTCGGAATGTTTGGATTTGCTCAGGCGACGTTGCTGGGGAGACGACATCACTGCAAGCCAGATACACACCACGCCACTACGCACACAGCTTTCCTACATCGCCGAGCGTCGGCGCATAAGGCTGAGGGCGTGGCATTGGTTGCACGAAAAGTATAGCAAAGCCTGAGGAAGCCGCATCCAGCAGGAACCACTAAGCCTCAGGCCTCGAAACGCCTGTAGTTCAAAAACCGAATTGAAGCAACTTCGATTGCCGACAGCCTCGCCCGCTTGCCGCTGTAGCGCACAAGGTATCGGCTGGGTGGCCATGCGACCTGCTGGCACAGAGGGGGTTCGCTAGATCGCTGTGACGTGGCGTGAACCTGGAACCTCTGTGAAGCTAGACAATTCCAATTCCTCACATTCCTCGAATTCCTCGAGATCTCCGAAATTCGTATTTCGTGTTTCGGGTTTCGCCTGGCCTCGACCCCTTGAAGTCTCCAGGACAGCACCGGAAACCGCTTCGTACCTGCGAGAACTGCCCAGGCCAGGCAAAGCCTAAAGCTGCAACGCAGCCGAAGGGTGCTGATGTCCGCGCCACCTGAGGAGACTCCAGCGCTCGATAGCGCTCAAGTCGGCAAGAGTAGAACAGAGCGTGCCTTGCACGTGCCAGCAGTGCCTTCTTGCCTCGCTAGCAGCAAGCATATCATATCTTCTTCGCAGTGCATGACAGCCCTTGTCGGACCTCATCACCAGTTGCAGCCGGTGGATCTGCGGGCACACATTGCTGGCCTTTGCAGAAGTCCTCGAGCGGCAACATCCAATCGTCTCGAACAGGTAAAACGGCGTCCACCGCTTGGTCGCGGTCCGCCAAGGCACTCCGCAGCTGCGTCTCAGCCTGCCAAGACGCGGAGAGACTGACTTCGGAGGTCTGAGCGAAGAGAGGAGCTCTCAAGGCCTCCTTGGGCAAGTAGGTGAAGGTGGAAGCCGAGTCGAGCTGCGCTCGGCCCCTGCAGGCCGCATACATCGCACATGCCCACTGGGATCTCTTGATGACGTCAGGGCCTACAGGGGATGGAGCGTCCGTTGAACACCAAGGCCTCAACCTGCGCAGGCAAGATCTGTACACGGAGATGTGTAAACAGCCAGCAGTGAGCACACCTTGACTCCATACTTGCCACTTGATCCGCTGATCTGCAAGGGCACCTGAGGTGAGAATGGTATGTGCAGACTGACTTGACGGCTGAGCCACTGAGCTTGTGGCCCAGTGTCCGACGTGGGCGGTGTCTGCTCCGATGACCAGCTCTCCGCCTCCCAGAGCAGAGCAGGCAGAGCACTCGGCGCGACTCGGCATGACTCGGTCTTCGCCTCCCAAGCTCAAGGAAAAGACCTCGCAACACAGCCGCAACAACAAAGAAGCTCACCACAACAAATCTCTTTCCAAGCTTCATGCCCGCTTTCTTGGTTTGGAGCCAGGTGCCTTGGACAGTCCGAGGCTGCGGCACAAGCCCCGCCTCTCGGTGCGAAGCTCCTTCTTGAAGGCTTGCCAGATCATCGTGGGCTTTGTTGCCGAACCTCAGGTGGCCAGAAGGGACGTCACGCTTCAGACTTTGGGATCTTTCAAGCGTTCACTCTTTCGTCTCCGAGGAACCAGGCGCAAGCCCAAGTATGCCGTTCTGCTGCTGTGCATGGAAAAGTCCCGACTCCTGCCGGGCATTCTTCGGAAGTGAACGGAAAGTCTAAGGGCGGGATGTGGCCATAGCACCACTCAAGTGAGGCTGGCCTTGAGAGCACAGCCCACTGATGCCGTTAACGGCTCGGTGCCTGAGTCCGTGAGACGATCAAGCGCATCGATTTTCATGTGACACATTGTGCTGCTTGCCTGCAGAAACACCCTCAACTGCGTCCCCAGCTTCCGTTTGCAGACACAAAACGCAAGCTGTCGCGAAACCATCTCCTTGGGCTGAACCGAGATCTCGTGCAAAGGACGAGGTCCTACGCCGTGCTGGTGACCTCCACTGAGACAGACACCCTTGAAGAGAAGATCCTTCCAGATACTTCTCCTGGAAGCTGCATTGATCCTCCGCGACATCAGGCCAAGAACTGCTCGAAAGCATGGGAGCCGGCATGAACTGGAGTCGCCAATCGAGTCCTTCTGACATTTGCCTGGACAGTTAGGTCCGCAGCGAATCCAATCGCCGGTCGCGCTCCCAGATAAATTGAAATGAGGATGCAGATGCTTCCCGCAGGCAGAACACCCCGTGCAAGTCAATTCAGTCACCTCAGATTTCGGCATGCAGCTTCATGCTTTCACAACTGGTAGGCAGGCTTTTGTTTTCAGGGAAGTCTTGGAGCAAGGGCATGAAGGCCCATAGTAGGCTTGTTGGAACATGGCAGAAAAGGATGGTGGGAGGAAAACGAGGAGAGACGACTGAAACGAGGACTGGATGTGCAAACAGGCTTTTTCGAGACTTCATCCTGGAATCGCAACACAACAAGCTGACATAGGGAGCGGCGCTTCCAGGCGCCGCAAGGGGGCTCTGTTCCAAAGCCTTCTGAGCTG